ATGGAAACGAACCGCAAGTGGTAAAGTAACCAAAAATGGGGAGCGGGATCGGACGCGCACGCAGGCAATGCGATGGTTTTAACCCATTGACGACCGCGTGGCCCGCAGACGGGCCACGCCATATCGTGCTCCTGTAGTATTTATATTATTTATCAAGCGTTCTTATAACTTTTTCATGTTTTCAAGTATCAGCTGAGCTTACAACCTTCCAGAGAATCTCGAGGCATCGTGGTCCAGGAATCATTCACTTCCAACTACAGTTATAAGAGAAATTAAAAGTTAATGTACGGACAATGTAAAAGGCGTGGTCGCCAATGGGTTAAGGGTGAAGGAGCGGGACTGGAGGTACTGTTACCATGAGGAACGTTGGGGGAGAGAATCACTCAGGGAGGCGAACTTGACGAGGATAAAGCTGGTTTTCAAGGGGAAAATGATTGCCTGCTTGAAAGCAAAAAGGTAAGTGGCAGGGAGTGAATTGTTGTGGGCTAAACGAATGGCTAAAAGAATTTGCGTCAACCTGACACTTCAACATATCACACTATTGGGATTCGTATCACGTGTTCATCTCACAAAGCCCAGATGTCATTACCAAGCATTGGACGTGAAATAGATTTCCTCGATAGATCCCATATCCATTGCTCTCGTATTTCCTTCATTTCCTTTTTGCTAATGTCGACGCCAAGCCTCTTATCCTCCTTATGCGGTCGGCCTCGTTTCTTGTGTTCCTTAGCTGACGCCTAGCCTGATCCAATTCCCTCACGGAATCCTCTATACGAATATCGACTATTGGGTATTCATTGCAATCCGCCCAGAACCTTCCCAAGCATATTCTTCACTTTCGAGACGGTTTTTCGGTAAAAACCTGCTTTCGATTGTGTGAGCGCCTGGTTACCCCTATAGTGTAGCGCCACGGGGACGTGCCTGACATATGTATGTGCTTCTTTACGTGTCNCCAGAATCTTCCCAAGCATATTCTTCACTTTCGAGACGGTTTTTCGGTGAAAACCTGCTTTCGATTGTGTGAGCGCCTGGTTGCCCCTATAGTGTAGCGCCACGGGGACGTGCCTGACATATGTATGTGCTTCTTTACGTGTCGATAAGAAATTTGGGATGTTTTGAAACGCAGCTGTGGGTTTGTTTCGTGTTTTGGCTGCAGTGTGTCAGCGTGTGCAGGTGTTGCTGTTGGTATATCAAGGGGGGAAAACGGGCGCATTCTTTCGTAGACGCTGACTAGTTGCTGGCTGATCGCAGTAGCCGGTCTCCCACCTCCCAATGCATTTCTAAGAACGTCCCACCATCCCCCTACATCTATTCTGACATATCCCACCAATAGCATTTTACGGAATGCATCTGTGAACGTGTATGATGGGATGTGGTGGGTGTGTATTCTCATATCGTCATCATCGTTCCATATCGTCGTCGTAATTTAAACAAACCGTTTGTGTATGTTTCTCATCAGACATATTTCCCATCTGTAATTCATACACTACGATAGCTCATCAGATAGCAATCATAACTGGTTATAAAGCCAATCGAAAAGTCCCTACAGTCATACATGGTAAGGATGTCACGATAGCTCTCATCCGACTTCAGAGCTGCTCAGAATTATTTTTTGTTGGACCGACTTCCAACAGTTTTGCCCCAGAAACTTCTAAAAATTACCGTCATGCTGTAACAGTCCCAATAAAGCGTCGTTTCTGGAGTAAGAGTCGTTCAAACCTGGAATTTCGTATCTTTTTTTTTTGAAGTTTTCATGAAATTTCTTGACCACTATCAAACTACTTGAAGACGTCCTTTCTGAAGTCGTGTAGCCATGTTGAAGACGTCCTTTCTGAAGTCGTGTAGCCATGAGTAGCTCTTTTTTCTCTTCCTTCCTTTCTGTTTGGGTGGTGCTGCTCATGATTCAGCTTTTCTTGTCCTTTTGGTTGTCTTCCCCCTTCTGCCCTTGTCAGAACGTGCCCTACGTCGGAGGCGGTAGCACAGGAGAGTATTAAGTATGACCGAGTATGGGTAAAAGTGCTCCCACTCCTTCTTTGGTTTACAATTATTTGAGATCGCAACCTTTGTGTTCGCATCGTTACTCGGTTACAAGTATGAGAACGATTCCGTGATCGTTACTATCATTCAAGAATTTGATTCCGGCATCTGCTCCGATACTGAGCGGGCATGGGTATGTGAGCGTGTGTGCAGTGTGGCGTGCAGTGGTCGTTTGTTGGCTGAAATAAAAGTAGTCAGAGTCACCTAACAATGTGTAACCAACTAACTACCACCAAGCAATGAATGAAGCGGAGGCGGAAGATGATGTGGGTGGGCGGATGCTGCGAACTACGTTGATGACGATGACGTGATAGTACAAGAGGGGCGGGAGGAAACTCACACGCGAGGCTTCATGTCTAAATTGGGTGCACCACACGATGATGGCGGTTTGCGG